GCATACTACTTCTAGCTCTTATGTTTTGCTGGCCCATTCAGATGGTAAACATTTTAGATCCTAGGGCTGGCTGCAGTAAATACAACTTTCACAAAAATGTAACGTGAAAATGTCCTTGGAAGAATGCAAGGGGGCAATGTGCGACACAAAACAAAGGGAGCTGTTTTACTTCTTGTTCAGGTTCAACCACCGCTTACTTTAGTCTTTGAACTAAGAAGGATCATATGAAAAAACTCCCTCACATGAAGGCTCGTTCAAACGTTCTGTTCAGGAATCCCAGCCACGCGAATCGGTGACTTGTGAACAATGGTTCATGCAGATGGATTCCTCTCCTGACACCGGTGCACTGCAGATCGGCCAGTTATAAATATATGATATCGTGGATAGTTCTAAGAATATGCTGTGGCTCTATCGTCTATGGAGATTTTCAGCCATCCAAGGTTGTGCTGCCTTTTGAAAAAACACCTTTGGGATGTGGCTCTATCAATTTTGTAGAAACCCCCCCTCCTCGCTCATCCAGCATCTGTAAGCTTAAGTTGAAATGGAAACCAACATAGGTGCTTATGACAGAATGATAGAGCTATTATTGGTTGGAATAATCTGGCAACGGAGCTAACATATTGGCTTCTCTCTTTCCATGGTTACATCTTCTGTTGTCTCTTCATTCTCCTAGTTTAAATGGTTAATAATAATAATAATAATAATAATAATAATAATAATAATAATAATAATAATAATAATAATAATAATAATAATAATAATAATAATAATAATAAAGTTGGAAGGGACCCTGGAGGTCATCAAGTCCAACTCCCTGCTCAGGCAGGTAACCCTATACCATTTCGGACAAGTGGCTGTCCAGTTTCTTCTTAAAAACTTCCAGTGTTGGAGCATTCACTGCTTCTGGAGGCAGGTAGTTCCACTGATTAATTGTTCTAAATGTCAGGAAGTTTCTCCTTAGTTCTGGGTTGCTTTTCTCCTTGATTAGCTTCCACCCGTTGCTTCTTGTCCTGCCTTCAGGCGCTTTGGAAAATAGCTTGACTCCTTCTTCTTTGTGGCAGCCCCTGAGATATTGGAACACTGCTATCATGTCCCCCCTCGTCCTTCTCTTCATTCAACTAGACATATCCAATTCCAGCAACCGTTCCTTATATGTTTTAGCCTCCAGTTCCCTAATCATCTTTGTTGCTCTTCTCTGTACTCTTTCTAGAGTCTCAACATCTTTTTTACATCGTGGTGACCAAAACTGGATGCAGTATTCCAAGTGTGGCCTTACCAAGGCCTTGTAAAGTGGTATTAACACTTCACGTGTACTTCTATAAAATGAAGAAACTACACGACCTGAGTTCTGGTTTTTCCTTAGACATGAAACCAGTTGGGTGACTTGAGCACAAACAATGTTTCTCAAGCCTAAACTGGAAGTTGGGGGAAATAAATATCCCAAAGGAAGGGATTTCCAAAACTGTGGCCAAGAAAACTGCATGGATCAGGAGCAAAGATGGTCTTAAGGATGATTAACAAAAACAGAGAGATTGTCTTGAGTATTTATGTTGGCTTCGGGAGACCTGCTAATATTTTTCCTAGCAAAGATGTTGGTGGAACAGAGGCTGGACCTCCTATAGAGAGCTGAGAAAGTTTACATTTGCTTGAAATTTGTTTACTGCTCAAGTAGTTACCTGTTCTTTTTTTAAAAAAAACAAAAGCATTTAATTCATATTTATCGTCATATGATGCTAACCTCCACAATGATTTGCCTGTATTCTGGCTGGTCGATACTTCTCAACATGTCCTCGACCAGAAGAGAAAAGTTCATTTCATACATGGTCATGTCAGACAAAGTTGGTTGCTGCGAGAAGGAAGGAAGATGAAGAATCTAACGTGAATTTCATGAGTGGCACTAGGCAACATCAAAGTTAACAGACTTTTATGGCTGGTTAGGCTTTGCACCCAATTCTGACAACTGCATGCCACAAATTCAGCTTCCTCACTGAGGCAGATGGCCAACCAGCCTACCCTTAAAATAACTCCCTCAAGAAAGTGAAATTACAACTCCTGGAAACCATGTTTCAAAGGAAAACATGGTCTGAATCCCATAGATGTGGGTTTACCTGAGGCAAGTAATTCCCAGCTACTATTAGCCCGTTGGGAGTCCTCTCCAAAATTTGCCAGACCCTGTCATAGAACCCACTCGGCGTTCGGTTCAAGGAGCCATCAATCTGACGCCTGTTCAGCCAGCATCTATGGGGAGAGAAAAAAAACACATTTAAGTAAAACTGATGTTTCTAAATTGAAATAATGTAGGCATGAGTCATTAAGCCAGGGTTTTATTTTTGTTTTTTTAAAAAAAGAAGTGAAAAAGTGAAAATGAATCTCTGGGATGCCAAACTTTGTACAGAATGGTGCATTTGAGGTAAATATTTGATATTTGAGGTAAATATTTGAGGTAAATATTTGGTAAATAGTCCTCAACCTATGACCACAATTGCACCCAACACTTCTGGGGTTAAGTGAGACATTTGTTAAGTGACTTCTTCAGTGAATCATTGCAGTTGATAAATTAGTAACTCAGTTGTTAAGTGAATCTGGCTTCCCCCATTGAGTTTGCTTGTCAGAAGGTTGCAAAAGGGGATCACATGACCTTGGGACGCTGCAACCATCATAAATATGAACCAGTTGCCAAGCGTCTGAATTTTGATCACGTGACCACGGGGATGCTGCGAAGACCATAACTGTGAAAAACGACGGCAAGCCCCTTTTTTCAGCGTCATTGTAACGTCCAACAGTCAATAAACGAACTATTTTAAGTCAAGGACTACCTGTACTTATTTTAATTTTTTAGAAGTCTAGTTTAAAATTACAGTTCAAGAAGACATCAAGACTTATTTATGTAACCCAGGCTTTATTTATTGTTTTAGCTGTTACAACATTCCAGTTCTTTTACATTGTGTGGTTTTAATAACCTTTAAAGATTTGTTTTAAAGGTGTCCTGCTGTTTTTGTAAGCTTCCTGAGCTATTAGGGGTACAAATGTGTGTAAAAATACCCTCCAAAATTAATATAAAATGCTCAGTTTTAGCAGACATAATATTTACTGAAGGGTATAAAGGTTTTTTGATCCATTAAACTGCTTTACCTAGGAGAACAAAGGCAGTGGAACAAAAACTGATCTTCTCTGGGTCACAGCTGAAAGTTAATATGATGAATGAATTCAAAGCTTTGAATAGTTGAAAGTTATCTTAGCTTTTTCTATTTTCACACCCTTGTCAAGCCAGGAAAATTAAAGCACAGCTTTTAACTGCACTTAATCTTAGTTCCCATTGCCCTTGCAGCATTAGAAGAATAATTTATTTAGGAAATTACTGTCACAAGTTCTGTTTAGCCTACGAAGAAAACTCATTTTAAAATAGCAATTGGGACAGGAGCGGGGGGGGGGGAGATATATGTGTTCTTCAAGAATCCCACTGAAGCAGAGGATATAAAAAATGTGGGGATTTATGTCTTTTGCACAAAATGGCAGAATTTGAGCAAAGTACGGAATAGGCATTGTTTTAAATCATCCGAATTTGTCATTAAGGACCTGATGTAAATGGATGTAAATGATGTCCCGTCGAAATCTGAGGTACTCAAATTAAGGAGCCAGAGTATTTGCAAATAGAGGTAACAAAGCATCTTTTATTGGCATGCACAACTACAGTGACAATGTCTTTTCACTAAAAAAAAGGCAGAAAAGTCCCGAAGAGCACAAGTTATAACTTATACACCCTCTGAAATGACATAGTGCTTACTAAAGCAGTATAAATTGTAAGAGGGACTTTACTGCAGCAATGCAGGATCTGATACAAACATGAGTGAGCTTACTATCTAGAGGCTGACTCAGTGTCTTTACATTCTGCTTATCTAAGAAGGCTTCAAATCTGCTCTTTCTGTTGATAACAGCACCACGGAACATAGCCAATAACCTTTATTGGTTATAAAGAGGGGGTCAAGCTATTCTCCAAAGCACCTGAAGGCAGGACAAGAAGAAATAGATGGAAGCTAATCAAGGAGAGAAGCAACCTAGAACTAAGGAGAAATTTCCTGACAGTGAGAACAATTAATCAGTGGAACAACTTGCCTCCAGACGTTGTGGGTGCTCCAACACTGGAGTCCCAAAGATGCTTTTTCACAAGGCAACTGGACTTTCTTGTTTTTTTCTTTGAAGACGTCTCGCTTCTCATCCAAGAAGCTTCTTCACTGGAGGTTTTAAAGAAGACATTGGGCAACCGTTTATCTGAAACGGTATAGGGTCTCCTGCATGAGCATTAGGTTGGACTAGAGGACCTCCAAGGTCCCTTCCCAACTCATTCTGTATTGTGTAAAAGTTCAGAAAAGAAGGACATGATAGCTGGGGAGGTCTATCAGAGAAGAGGGAGTCAACCTATTCTCCAAAGTGCCTTCAGAAGTTGTGGGTATTCCCACACTGAAGGTTTTGAAGAAGAGATTGCACAATCATTTGTCTGGAATGGTATAGGGTCTCCTGCTTGAGCAGGGGGTTGGACTAGAACACCTCTGAGGTCTTTTTCAACTCTGTTATTCTGTTATTCTTCATTGTACTCATATACTTTGTACATTGTACTCATGTATGAGTGGGGAGGGGGATTGGGCTAGAAATAACAACATTCACAGAAACAACAAAATCTAGTTTGGGTTATTTATCTCTTTCCTCCCCAGGGTTACCGGCAATTTCAACTTTGCTTGCTCTGTCTGATATGCACTTCAGAATCATAGCATAAGGCTAGAATATTATTTGTGCCTAACCGTATAAGTACAATATTGCATGAAATAACGGCAAGAAGAGACAAGAAATAATGGAAGGGAAGGACAGAGATCCCTCAGTGCTGGGTTCTTGTATTAACCATGGCTAGAAGTCCTACGGTAAAAACGGGAACCACGCAATGTACTTCGAAGGGCTTAAAAACAGCAAAGAATGAAAACGTGTTTATTCATTTTAAATGAACTTATTGTAAACTGAGTTATATTATAGGTTCGGACCCCAAAGAGATGATGTGAGAAAAAGCTGTCATAAAAACAGGGTCCTATGACATTGTATTTTTTTTTTTAAAAAAAAGGCAGTAGCTCTCATGCACGCTGTGTTTTGTTACATGCAACAGAATCTTTGGGTGCTAAGCTGGAAGAAAGAAATACAGGCTTTAGGATAAATAAAGAGCTTGGACTGTTTTCTTCAAGAATTCCATCTTCCCAAGTAGCAAAGGACTGAAAGTGACTGAGAAAAAAAGAAGTGTGACATTTACCAGTTTCTCACCCTTCTCAGCAGAAAAAAAAAACCCACATACAATTTTATCAATAACAGCAAAGCTGCTAGCAAACAGAAAATTAAGCAATGCCCTTTAGGTGGGGCAATGGGAACAAGTGCCAATATTAGACGTGCATTTATATACATAAATGTACTTGGCAGTGAATTTTACACACCAAATGTTCAGTTATTTTAAAAGCATCACTTTTTACAAAAAGCCAGAGTCAAACCTGTAACAGACGATGCTGTTGGAAGAAGGAGCAGAAATTGAGCCCCCACTAGATGCCAACAACGTTAGCAACTTTTAAACACCCCAGTTGAAAGAAGTTAAGTTTTGCAAAAGTTCAACCGCACCTTTCGGATGGCTTCAAATTCACTCTCTTGAGTGAGGTCCTCTGCATAATCAAGGGGCTTTAAGAAAGAAAAGCCCCTGTTGAAAAGGGATCAACAGCCTTTCTGAGCAAAGACAAGTCACGTTCAGTGAATACTTAAATTCAGCAGAGGAATATCAAACTGAGAACAGCCTTTCTTTTTCTCCTTCTAAATACCCTACCAGTTATACAAAATTATAATAGTAGTAATAATGATAATGATAATGATAATGATAATGATAATGATAATGATAATGATAATGATAATGATAATGATAATGATAATGATAATAATAATAATAATAATAATAATAATAATAATAATAATAATAATAATAATAATAATAATAATAATAATAATAATAATATAGTAAAGTTGGAAGGGACCTTGAAGGTCATCTAGTCCAACCCCCTGCTCAGGCAGGAAACCCTATACCATTTCGGACAAATTCGCCATTAGTCAATTGCAAAAGGCGGCCTTACTAGGAACTGCTTCCATCCTGCAACGATATCTGTAATACCATCAAACATCCACAGCTGCCTATCCCAGGTCCTTGGTAAGGACTCGATAGGCAGACAAAATGCCTAATCCAGTCTGAACATCTGGCTGACTGTGCGATGATCCATAATAATAATAAAAAGTTGGAAGGGACCTTGGAGGTCATCTAGTCCAACCCCCTGCTCAGGCAGGAAACCCTATACCATTTCAGACAAAGGGCTGTCCAGTCTCTTCTTAAAAACTTCCAGTGATGGAGCACCCACAACTTCTGGAGGCAGGTTATTCCACTGGTTCATTGTTCTAACTGTCAGGAAATTTCTCCTTAGTTCTAGGTTGGTTCTCTCTTTGGTTAATTTCCATCCGTTGCTTCTTGTCCTGCCTTCAGGTGCTTTGGAGAATAGCTTGACTGCCTCTTCTTTGTGGCAGCCCCTGAGATATTGGAAGACTGCTATCCTGTCACCCCTAGTCCTTCTCTTCGTTAAACTAGACGTACCCAATTCCATCAACCGTTCCTTGTATGTTTTAACCTCCAGTCCCCTAATCATCCTTACATTTATATGCTGTCCATCTCACTATCCAAAGTGATTCTGGATGGCTTACAACACAATGGCCATGTCATGCGGGGGAATTCACTAGAGAAAGCAATAATGTTGGGAAGAGTTAGGGTTAAAAGGAAACCAGGCCTCCAAAGAACACGGTGGCTGAACACCATCAAAGCTGACGCCAGCCAGAGCAGAGAAAAAACTCAAAGAATCCGTGCAAGATCAGAAGATGTGAAGAGACCAAGGATCGCCAAGAATCGGACACGATTAAATGGGTAACGTCATCATCATCATCATCATACAAGGCAATAAAAACAAGAATATAAGGACATTCGAAACATTAAAATTAAGAGGTGTTGGGTAAAACCAGGAACTAATAAAACTGAAAACCGGAAACTTAGCAGTAACAGCGCCAGTATTGTTCTCAGTTTCCAATGAGTTTGTTTTTGGCGCATAAACAGAACAGATAAGTGAATAATGATTCCAGAAGCAGCGTGGCAGTGCTTAGCATCCACTGGGAAGAAAGGGTAGAAGAGGTTTAGCGATAACAGAGCTCAACAATCGGAAGATAAATCCTGCCTTGGCAGAACGGCATTTTTGAAAGACCTGGCCTTGGCTTAGGCTGCCTCCCTCCCGGTCCCAAAAGTAGAGGCAAGCAACATCCTAATACAGGTGATGGAGTTGCTAACTGAAGTTTTACAAAAGCTGATGCTAAACCAAACACCTTTGTATGGACGAGGAATGGGGGAAAAAAAAAATACTCAGCTGTGCTTCCTTCTGCTTTTTTGAAGCTTAAAAATCGATTGGTTCAAAAGCTGGGAGGAAAGGAGAAGGAGCCTGCAAGAAGGAAAACAGCGAGCCAGAGAGACGGGCCGTTTGTGCAATCCATCAGTGTGGAGGCCACCGTCAGACGTACGCTAGAAAAAGATGAGCTTACCTCCCTTGCTGCTGTGGATGAAGGATATCCAGCAGAAGCTGCTTCACTTCGCTGGGTGACATCTGGTATAAATCCGCAGGGGGCATCTCCCCCGCACGGATCTGCAGTTCATATTTCATAGCGTGCACCATCCACCTGACAAATGAAAACATCGGGAGATTATTTAGGAACAGGAAATTGCCCTCATCCCTGCCAATACACCAAAGGCAAAGGTGTTAAAACACGAAGGGCCTCAGTGTCCAATTCACGACCATCTTATCAACGTTTCTGCTTAGGTGCGATAGTACTGAAAATTGGAGTTGCTTAATAGCAGTAGCAATAGCACTTACTGTAAGACTTATATACCGCTTCACAGTGCTTTACAGCCCTCTCTAAGTGGTTTACAGAGTCAGCATCTAGCCCCCAACAATCTGGGTCCTCATTTTACCGACCTTGGAAGGATGGAAGGCTGAGTCAACCTTGACCTGGTGAGAATCGAACTGCTGGCAGTCGGCAGAGTTAGCTGGCAATACTGCATTCTAACCACTGCGCCACCATGGCTTAGATAGCCATAACAATAGAATTTAGACTTATCTACCGCTTCACAATGCTTTACAGCCTTCTCTAAGTGGTTTACAGAGTCAGCCTCTTGCCCCCAGCAATCTGGGTCCTCATTTTATTGACCTTGGAAGGATGGAAGGCTGATTCAACCTTGAGCTGGTCAGGATCGAACCCCTGGCAGTGGGCAGAGTTGGCCTGCATACTGCATTCTCACTGCGCCAACATGGCTCTTTAACAATAGCATTTAGGCTTATATAGTGCTCCATAGTGCTTTACAGCCCTCTCTAAGTGGTTTACAGAGTCAGCCTATTGCCCCCAACAATCTGGGTCCTCATTTGATCCACTTCAGAAGGATGAAGGCTGAGTCAACCTTGAGCCCCGTCAGGATCAAACTCCAGGCTGTGGGCAGGTTTATCCTGAAATACTGGACATTGACCACTGCGCCACCAAGGCTTCAGATGCTGTTTGGATGCAGCCTTCCTAAAAATGCCAAGTATGATCAATCCAATATGCTTCTACAGATATAAAAAAGGCTATTTAGAACGGAAGCAGCATATATAATAAGTGTTAAATGAAGTCATGTGTGGATAAAACAATGCAGTATGCTTAAAGGGTGATATGAGATATTTTTCCCCAAGGAATGTCATCTTACTATGAAACAGGCTAGGAAGAAAAAAGCCAATCTAACCAAGACCCTGGGATTTCCCAATGAAATCTTCCACTTAACTACTAATCAGGCGTGATCCGCTTTAGAGGATCAGCCCGGATTGGCTGATTTGGCTATTTATTTATTTATTTATTTATTTAGAGAAAGCATATGGTTGGCTTTCCTTCTGCTTATTCAAGGAATGAAATTCAGTTGATATGAAATAAGTCTACTTCTCCAGATAGACGACTAAAGTTACCCAATAGCTGTGCTGGGGCCAAGGCAACGTCAACCAGTAGTAGTTTAGATCAGGGGTCCTCAACCTTTTGGGCACTAGGACCGGTTCCGTGGACAGACGTTTTTCCACGGACTGGAGGGAGCGTGGTTTTGTGTGCTGCCTGCATCCCACAGATGGGGCTTTGCTTGTTTGTGCGGACTGGTTGCTGGCATGCCGTGGCCCGGTACCGGTCCACGGACCGGGGGTTGGGAACCCCTGGTTTAGATATTTCAAATAACTTGGTCTGGATAACCTGCCCGCCAGTGTTTGAGTTTCCCGAAGCCAAGGATTTCTTAAGAGGAACACAATATCAGCCAAAGAGCAATTAGGATCTTGCTAACAAATTACCCACCACCATATACTAAACAATGTAAACCGATAGTCCTCAACTTACAACCATTCATTTAGTGACCATTTGAAGTTACAGCGCACTGAAGAAAATGACGGATGACCGTTTTCCACACTTGCAATCATTGCAGCACCCCCTATGACCACATGATCAAAATCCGGACGCTTGGCAATGGGCATGTACCTGTGACGGTTGCAGTGTCCGGGGGCTCACAGGTGATCCGCTTTTGTGACCTTCTGACAAGCAAAGTCAATGGGGGAAGCCAGATTGACTTAACAACCGTGTTGCTAACTTAACTGTGGTGATTCACTTAACAACTAGGTCGAGAAAGGTCATAAGATGGAGCAAAACTCATTTAACAACTGTCCTAATGGAAAATTTTGGACTCAGTTGTGGTCGTAAGTCGAGGACTGCCTATATACTGCGGGGTATGGTTACTTCCTTAACTATTATTGTTGTTGTTAGTTGCGAAGTCGTGTCCGACCCATCGCGACCCCATGGACAACATTCCTCCAGGCCTTCCTGTCCTCTCCCATCTTCTGGAGTCCCTTTAAGTTCACGCCTCCTGCTTCAGTGACTCCATCCAGCCACCTCCTTCTCTGTCATCCCCTTCTTCTATTGCCCTCAATCTTTCCAGCATTAGGCTCTTCTCCAGTGAGTCCTTCCTTCTCATTAGGTGGCCAGAGTACTTGAGTTTCAACTTCAGGATCTGGCCTTCTAAAGAGCAGTCGGGGTTGATCTCCTCCAGGACTGATCGGTTTGATCACCTTGCAGTCCAGGGGACTCGCAGGAGTCTTCTCCAGCACCATAGTTCAAAGGCCTCCATTCTTTGGCGCTCAGCCTTTCTTATGGTCCAACTTTCACAGCCATACATTGCAACTGGGAAAACCATGGCCTTGACTATACGCACTTTTTCCTTAACTGTAGGCAAGTGGAAATACTATCTAATGTTGACATCACTGTGTTCATTCTGAGTGGGAATCATGAGGTTGTCATCCACCTCCTCTAAAGAGCTTATGGATGGGGAAAGTTTACTTAAAGCCAGGCTAGACAGATTCCAAGCTGGTAGGATCTGCTTTATTCTCTACTTGAACCCTTAGATTTACCTCCTTCTGTGAGTTATAAAATAGGGGCTGAAGGAGGCCAGAGAGCTAAATCCAGAATTCAGAAAAAAAGAGTCCTCTGAGTCCCAGCTCAGCCTATGTATTTTGCTCCTAATGCCAGCAGAAAATTCCGAGGTTCTTTCCCTTCAAACCTTTTTCCTGATTCTTCCTCCAAGATTGTTCATCTTGTTCAACAGCACACGGTTAGGGCTGCCTGTCGAAAACCTGGGTCTATTTAGCCTGGGTCACCAAGGATTTATGTGTAAATTTCGATCTGTCTTCTAAACGCCCCGCTTTAAAATAATATTAATTTCCCTGGGGGTCACTTTCAGGTGAGAAATGCTGGCGAACACATCATTATCCACTGTTTGTTGAAGTTTTCAGCCACGTCCCAAATTCACAACAAGGAAAAGGTTACCACAGTATATATAGTACTTCAATCCCCTCTCCATCTCCTTCTCTTTCTCTCCCTCTCTCTCTCCTTCCCTCCCTCCCTCTCTCTTTCTTTCTCCATCCCTTCTTCTTTTTACTCTCCCTCTCTCCCTCCCTCTTTCTCCCCCCCCCCCTCTTTCTCTCTGTCTCTCTCTCTCTCTGGGGATGGGACTACTTATTTAACATACAATAAAAACACAACAGAAGTAAACACATACACACAAAATCCACATAATTTTATAAAAAATTTCTACAGGGTTGCGGCAATAGCCTCGTAACTGGATGGACTGAACCCCTAAAATCAAACACAAAAACCCCCTCCAACTCTGTTTTTATGTCTCCCTTTTGAAAACAATGGGAAGGAATAACATGAAATGGAACCATTGAGACAAAACACATGGGGAGCGTGGGTGGAACAGAGGCATCTACATGTATCTATGGCTACAATTTATGGAAGACTCTCTCGAAAGGCCTCATTTCAGCCGGACTATCCATCAAGGCACACCCGATCAAGGGAATTTATGCAAAAGGCATCAGCAGCAGCCTTCAGTCTCCCTGCTGACAGAAGCCAACTGGTAAAATCTATTGCAGTAGAAATTAAGGGGAGATTACAAAGAGAGAGAGAGAAAGAGAGAGAGAGAGAACACAAAAGAAACAGCTCTAATCCTTAATTAGGGATTAGATAGAAGTAGGTAGGTAGGTAGGTAGGTAGGTAGGTAGGTAGGTAGATAGATAGATAGATAGATAGATACCGAAAGAGAAAGACAGAAAGAGAGAGAGAGAGAGAGAGAGAGAGAGAGATGATAGATAGATAGATAGATAGATAGATAGATAGATAGATAGATAGATAGATAGATAGATAGATAGATAGATAGATACCGAAAGAGAAAGACAGAGAGAAAGACAGACAGACAGACAGAGAGAGAGAGATGATAGATAGATAGATACCGAAAGAGAAAGACAGAGAAAAAGACAGAGAGAGAGAGAAAGAGAAAGAGAGATAGAAGATAGAAGATAGTAGATAGATAGATAGATAGATAGATAGATAGATAGATAGATAGATAGATAGATAGATAGATAGATAGATAGATAGATAGATAGGCAGGCAGGCAGGTAGGTAGGTAGGTAGGTAGGTAGGTAAGGAGAGAGAGAGAGAGAGAGAGAGAGAGAGAGAGAGAGAGAGAGAGAGAGAGAGAGAGAGAGAGAGGACAAAAGAAACAGCTCTAATCCTTAATTAGGGATTTTAAAATTCTCCTCCATACCCACGCCAAATTGTGCTGATGCAAAAATACAGGCTCACATCTTTGGGGGAGCGGTGGTGGCTGGCGAGGGACCGCTTGAAGGACTGGGACAGATGCAAATATTCTGGTTGGCAGGGACCTAGGTTGCTAAAAGCTTTTTCCTGAGGTAATGAAAAATGACACTTGAGGAAATCTTGAGGACATCACATGTCCAAAACTGAGTGACAGGGTCAAAGTAGGATACTAGTTGGCAGTTATGGAGTAACAGATCTGGATGTGTGCAGCAGGGAGGACAGCATACAAATGAGATTTTCTCATCTCCTCCTTCCAAAAAAACCAACAACCCATAAACATTTTCAATCCAAAATACCATTTGCAGTTAGCCCTGGAACAAAGAGAAAAATCTATCTTACGGACAACAAAACATGACAAAAAAAACAACCCCAAAAACCACACAGCTTAAATTGGGAGGTAAAGCTGCACTTCTCCCTGGCTTGCTGATTCGTTTTGCATGATTTTTACATAAAACCAGGGCTTTTTTTCCTCA